CCTTGTGCACAGTAGGTGTTCCAGAAAAATGTGCTGAGAAACTAGGATTTTAAAAAATCATAATCTTTGCCTCGATTCTAGATTATGATTCCTGGTATCCCCTTGGGGGGAGAGGGTGGAATTGGGATGTACGCAAGTTATAACATATGGGTTTTTATGATTCCTTGTTCTTGTTTTAAAAAAGAAGACGACATGAACGTTTTGTGGGTTATTAGTACATCCAAAAAGCACCTACCCTATCATTATATAATATAATGCTTGGTTTTCAGACTTAACTTCAGGGTTCTACAACTCCTTAAATCCCTACTCAAATTACCTATCTCTTCTTCTCTCACTTTAGCGTTTTTGAGAAACTTTCTTTTTTAGCTGGTTTGGTTTACCAACAGGCTCTACCCAGTGTGATGAACTATACATAGTAAATAGCCTATTTATTCTTCTACACATAGAAAACATAATAGCAGAAACTTCTAATGTTTCCTTAGAGCTGAGTAATGTGACTGTTTTATCATCGCATGTAGCCTCTCACTGAGAAGAAAAGATAATGAGCTACTGAGACTAATAGTTGCAGTTAAAAAGAAAGAGAGAAAGAAAAGGCTGCTCTATAGAAATAGCTCTGCCTTCACGAACTATAATTCTCCCACTGGCATGCAATTCCAGTTCCACTGAGCTGAGCTTCATAAAGGAATTTAATACTATGCATATAAGGTATTTGAATGTAGTTCATGTATTTCCTCATATGCTCACCGAATTTGGACTCACAGCATTTTTATCGTCTCAGATCTCAGCCCACAAGAATTGGTCCCTTGTTTTCCATTTCCCAACGGGTCTTATCAGCAAGGTGATTGATTTATGAAAACAATCCTTTCTCTGGTTCCAATCTGACTCTTAGTCCTGGTTGATATGATTTTTCTGACATTATCCCTGTCAAAATGCTTCACATAATAACCTGAGATGCATGGTCCCTTTTGTGAGTCGTTAAATTTGACTCACTCTACTTGGATCCCACAGTGGTTTGAATCACTTTGAGGAATTGGAAAGGGAGGCATGATTGTGGACATGAAGACACTTTATCCGGGGACCTGGGGAGGGGGACATTCCCTCTCTGTGGAAGTTTTAGTTAGAAAGTGAGGAACTGTATTTACTCATGTGGAGGACCAGAGAGCAGATAAGAAAGTAGCCAGCAACGTGTGAGAAGGAACTTGGATTATGTATTTGACAGGAAATAACAGCACTAGTCAATATTCAATAAATAGGAGTAGGCAACTAATAATCAACACTATTCAATAAATAGGAGTGGGCAACTTCAAAATCTCCAAAGTCCACACACACACACACACACACACACACACACACACACACGGTTACAAATTCCTTAAGTGGAATCTTGATGAGGCCCTGAGGAATAACGGGCAAGATCCCTCTCTAAGTCAGATCCAGGATATGTACGGGTGGTTACCTAAGGATCACAATGCACTAACCAAACCAGAGATCTATTTCTGCCCGTCTGGACTTCCAATGTGCTCCAGAAATATTATCTCTGCCGCACACCACCTTTTCCTTTCCTAAATAGTACTATTCCTTTAAATGCACGTATCTTGATACTTCTTTATTATGTTGTATTATTATGTCACATATGTCCCTAAAATGAATACCTCCACCATTCCCATCCCTGTTCTATTTCTTGTCCATAGCCTGTTCTGTCTGTCTTCGAGTCACTCTCTACCGCACATTCTATCTGTCTTTGGGTACATAAAAACAAACAAAACACTCACTCACTGCCGCTGAGGCCATGTCGACGTGCACTGAACCCGTGGGGCAGGGGAGAACGGCCCCTGGGTATTGCTATGCTGCTGAGAGCTATGTCACTGAAATTTCAATTTCTGCAACACACAAAGCACCGGGGAGGACAAACTGACGGAGAAGTGGTGGCTATTATCACATATATATGATTCATTAAGTATGTCAAAGTTATTTTAAAAACTTAGAGCCAGTGTCACAGAGCCAGGTAGAACCAGAGCCTAGGTTAGGCCTGGTTTATCTTCTTCTGACATATACTCACAGCGACCCCCTACCCCTCACCCCTGTGGGTGTCCAAGGCGGTAACTGCGTAACGGAGTAGAAAGCTCTGTCCAGCTCCCATGGGGCGCTGGTGGTTTAACCTGCTGATCGTGCGATCACAGCTCACCTCATAACCACTAGACCCCCAGGGCTCCAACTTCTGTCCTTGACCACGACATATTCCTAAAGTATTCCAAACCTGCGCTCATGAGTGAAACATATTCATTGATCCCTAAAAAGCTTTTTGGCAGAACAGCAAGTATATAGAAAATGTTTGTCTGTGTTAAGGGTTATTCATTATTAATCAATTACCACTTACTGAATAATGTATTGTTGAATTCCCCTGAGTTGACAAACCATTTGAATTTTTCATATGCATAGATAGGCACCAGTTAGCTCGACAAAGGGCATGCTCTTGAAATGTGTGTGTTCACTGCAGGTTGCTATCAGCACTCAGTTATTTGTAGCACTTGTGCCTTAAACGTCCAGTGTCATTAAAATGTGGTGCCATAACCCACATAGTAGGATGTTGATAAAAATGAGGCTGTAGGAGGTGATTCACTAGATACCTAAATGGCCAAAAATACAGGGCTACTCTCACACACCCTGCAGACTTCAGGTTTATATGATAATAAATAACAGTTATCACCAGGACAAAGGGAAAAATGTCATGCAATCCAATTGCTCAGTCAGAAATCTGCTAATACAGGTGGTGAAGCTTCTTCTATTTCCTTGTCACAAGGAAGCTATTTATTTGCTTCTAGGTAGTGAAAGTACAGTGTCATTTAGTGCTGAAAGTTTTCCAGTGGCAGATGTGATGAACCCACAGCTCTGAGTTTTAGATTCAAAGTTTGTGAGAAAAGGGAGAAAGTGTTATTTTACCAACAGCTGGACTGATAAAGATAAACTCTTTTTGTAATTGTATAAATAAAATAAAGGTCTTGAAACATTTCAATATGATTCGCCTTACTGTATATCTAGGGTAGGTGCCAAGGGCAAAAATATAGTCTGAAATGATTATTCATTATAGTAAGGCATTTGAAATATTTTCCTTTTCACAGCTTCCTGAATAGGTGAGTTATTGTGCGTGTGTGTGTAAACACCAACATTGGGGAATATTTGAGTTAGAAGAGCTTTTGGACATTATATTCAATATTCCTATGTTACTGTCATCTAGCCATTTCCAAGTTTGGGAGCTTTGCTAAGAGAGAAGGCCAAAGATATTCCAATCACATCTCTTAAATTAAGTGTTTTATCAATACATGTTGACTTTTCAATTCATATGAAAGTTTTAAGTTTTGAATATGCCTAACAACTATATTTTATCACTTCCCCATGGATATGAAAGTCATTCTTTAATAAACATGCCACTTAATCCTTTCCAAGCAATTTTTTAAACCAATGCTGTAAGATATGTAATTATTTTATTAATTAAAAATATTAACTTCATCAATGTGAGTTCTTGACCAAATTGAATGCTCTCAGGCATACTCTTGATGAGGAAGGCTGATGGTGCAGCTGAAGGAATTCAAATTCTAATTTATTACATCTTGATAAGCAATCAATGTGTCATAAAGGGCAATGGGTCCACCAAAGTAATCTATACAGGAAGTGATCCACCGCACAAGGGTAACAGATATGGGCAATACTAGGCTTCTCTAAGACAACGAAGTTTGTGGCAAAAACAAAATATCCCACTTCCAGTTATCTGAAGCTGATATTGTAAAATGTTCACAGAGAACATTAGTGATTACGCCAAAAATCCAAATGACGAATATATTTGACAACATCATCACTTACTCAAATGGATCATTCAGGTATTATCGGACTAGCAATGGATAGTTTTATAAAGTAACAGCACATAAATGTATTAGAGCAGGACTTCAAGATGTGCTGGCTATTTTACACAAAATTAATAGAAGAGAATATTGTAAAATAAATTGCAGGTTAATAAACCTCAAAGAGCCATTGTTTCAAAGCAAACATCTTTAAAACAAACACACATGTATTCTAATGGTTTTGGCCTTCTAAAAATATGTCTATAGTAATTTACACAGATACTGAAAAGATAACCAGTGAACCTTTTACCTAAGGCCTCATAATAATTGCATCTTACATAATTATAGTTTGTCCTAATATGTATGCCTAACACAATTACAGTAAAACACCCAAACCAGGAATTTGATATTGGCAGAATGTGTCTATATAGATCTTTGTCATTTTATTATAGGTATCGATTCCTGTAACCCATAGGACAAAAGAGAAACATTATAAATTAGTTTATTCATTTTCTTATATGTAAAGATGCATTATACTTTCAGATAAGAGTTCTAGACTACATCACCAGCTACTAAATCGACCTCAAATATTCTCTTAATATTTTCCCCCAAATGTTTGAAAAAGAGACATTTCCTCTGCACTGAAAGTATGACTTTCTAGGAAACACTAAATATTAAAACCAAATTAGAATTCTAGCAATATAGACAAGGCACACGAAGGGGAACCTCTTGTTCCCACACAGATAAAATAGTCCCATCACACAACCATTAGATCTCACCTACATGAGAGTGAGCCTTGTGGTTCTGGTACCATGCACGAGAGACAACTCGGACCCACCTTTACCTGGTGACAATCCTACATACACCTGTAGACACCCAGAGACAAACAACGGACACTCCATTTTCAGGAAAAAATCGTTTCCAAGTGCCCTACAGTACTAAACAGGTTAGCATGACTAGAGACTAAATTAGTAAGCACACTAGGAAACAATGGAATCGAGCAGCTAGAGTAAGCCTCTTTTGAGATTTCCTTTTCCTACCTAACAAGCATGTATTGTCCACATTGTTGCAAACTCCAATTCTGAGTCACCTTATAGCAAAGGAAACATATTTGATACCAAGAGGAAGTAAAAGGCACTAACAGAATCCAAACATCTGTCTTACCTTGGCCATCTGTGCCTGCACCCCATTGGCCTTGAGAGATGCTACTGCTTTCTGGGCGGCTGCAGGACTGTCGAAATCTACAAACCCGTAACCTGTGAAAACACAAAGCCCCTTGTTAGTGTTCTTGAAAAGCTGCATTGTTATCAGGTCGATGAAATGGGTGCTTGTCGTCACCCTTGAATTTATTTCCTCTGACAGATGTCCCGGGTTGAACGTAAAATTTCTCAAAGCAATGTTCTTTAACATTTTAGAAGTTTCTGGAGTATCTACATATAAACTAGTTAGTCTCTTATCTGCTAGAAGTTGGTTTGGAGACTGTCCCCTAAGGTCCCCAAATAAGACATTTCTTCGGAAATTTTTGATAAATGTGCATTATAAATTATTACTTTCTGCCATCTGATTCACATGAATTTGGAAAATGATAGCACACTCTTTACCCACGTGCTTCTTTCTTCAGGGAATTTTCTGTAAGAGGGAGGAGCCTGAATTTCCTGGAAAAAACCCCATCTATCTCTAATGTGAATGATCAAAGGGAAAAAAGATGATAAAAGACATAGTGTGACTTGCAAAGAGTTATCAGCAGCAACTGCAACCGAGTCTGATGCAGTTGTCCAGTGAATTCCTGACGACTGCAAGAATGACAACAGGCTGGGAGAGTGAGGAAAGAGCTCCAACCCACTCCCAAGTTCAAACGGAACCTTGTCTATATGAGTGACCACATCTCACATAAACCATGTTGACGCTTAAGTGATCTGTGGTCAAGAAGGACTACCCAGATGAATCTGAGAGCTTCTTTTAAAAACAGGAGACAAATACCACGATCACTCATTTGTCATTACGGAGCAGTCTGCAAAGGGCCGAAGGACTGCCTATATTATTCTCCGCCTAGGTGCCTTTGTTCGATGCAAGCACATGGCAAGGTCAAAGGGACAGCTAACATCCAGCCAACGAAAAAGGCAATTTGCATGCTCTTCAATGTAGCGGATATGAGTCCAGGGTTTGGTCAAATTCCATGATCGATTGCCAAGATGATTTCAGAATAAAAATCCACAAGCATGCACTGAGGGTAGCTCTGTTAGGCACACCTAAGGGTCCACCAGGTATATCCTGTGCCTTTTGGCACTTGGAACTTACAGTGTTGCCCCACAGTCTCATATTTCTCAAACAATTTAAAGTTTTGAGGTAAGCAACTGAAACAAACTTACCAAACATTTACGCTAACTACTCACGCCACACACACACACACACACACACACACACACACACACACACGCCAAGAAAATTCAATTACCAAGTTCTTTCTTTTAATTAACTTTTTAATTTTCTCCCCTCAAATTCAGTCATCTTTTCCTCCTTCCCAGCATGCTATCTGAAAATGAACTTGTTACACAGCAGTGCACCACAAAATGCTCTTGAAAAGCAGGGCCGAGAAACTGGTAAGTTTATCCTTCTAATCCAAAAGGAGGCTTGCTTTGTAAGTAGTGCTAGTTCTCTTAACAAAATTCTTACTGTGTAGGTCACATGAGCCTTCCTACTACAATGAGCAAGATTGAATAAATATATAAAGAAAGAAAGAAAGAAGAAAAAAATCAAATAAGTCAAGGAATGGTGTTAGGGGGAGGGAAAATCAAAATCTTAACTTATACATTACTTCCTATATGCCAGTTACTGTACTAGGAGATTTATACATGGGTTCCTGGTATGTTTATAACCTCACGTGCTAGCTATCAATTGCATGTCCATTGTACAGAAGAGGAAACTGAGGCTCAAGTGAGGTGACGTAACTGGCCTAATACCAAAGGCTAGTTGACTGACAGCTCCAGGAAATGAAGTCGAGTAGGCCAAATGCTCACCAGAGAGAGAATAAAAATCTTGACAATTTCTTGGCTTTTGATTTAGGCAAAGGGATTAAGTAATCTCGGGAACAAAAGAGTCAATCTGTTATTCAGGCAGAACTGCTATTATAGTAGTTGCTGGGTTCTTAGTACAACTTGCCACGTGAGGTATGATGGGCCACCCTACACGTCATGCTTTCGCCAGTCTGGCTCATCCACCCATCGGCTCCCTGCTCCATTCAACAGCAGATTTCTGCATACTGTGTGCCATCAACTCGGCGCTATCCTCTACTCACGGCAACGCCACAGGACAGATCCCAATATCCCTGTAGGGTTTCCCAGGCTGTACATCTTTACAGACGCAAACTGCCTCATCTTCCTCCCACAAAGCACTTTGTGAGTTTGAACTTCCAACTTCTTGTTTAGCAGCCAAGGACTTAACCTCATCGCCACTGGAGTTCCTTAGAACTGGGGTAGTGGTGAACAATACAGTTCCAGTCAATGTGTAAGGTCAACATTAGCCAAACAATCATATAAGTGATCTATAACTACCAAATGACATACTTTCTTTGAAAGAAAGGAAAGAATATCACATCCAACTATTCAGTGTTCATTATTGAATTTTTAAGAAAAAGTGACAGAACATGCTCTGCTTAAAGTTATATTTTATTTTAAAGATGACTCCAGTTGGCTTTTCTGTGTGGAGAATGAATTGTTTGCTATGAGGGTTAAAAGAGTGAGACTAGAATAAGAAACAAATTAGAAGCTATTTCAGCAACCCACAAAATGGCAACTGACATAGAAATGGAGGCTTTCAGAGTTATTTTGGAGACAGAACAAACAGAATGCAGGGAGGTGTAGATGGGATTGTTACTGTTGTGTTGGCGTGTGGATGGAGATAAAATGTACTGAAATGAGGGGCAGAAAATCAAAATTTCAATGTTTGACATACTGAGCGAGAAACACCGCGAGGCACGTGTGTAGAAATGATTGGAAGCAGCTGGATCTATTAGGTGGACTCTCACTGAGGTGGATGGGATGGGAAATATAAATCGGAAGGTCAACATCACAAAGAAAATATTTACAGAGGTGGATGTAAATGGAAATGCCCAGAGTAAAGAAATGTAAAAAGTGATCCTGGTTTAGAGTGGGAACAATTTAGGCACTTGGGTGTCAGGTAAATTGAAGGTGAAGGAAGCTGAAGGAGAGTGGGAAAGGAAGAGGAAATACAACAGGAAGAGGAGGTCTCCGAGGTCAAGGGA